CTCTCTCTCTCTCTCTCTCTCTCTCTCTCTCTCTCTCTCTCTCTCTCTCTCTAAGCACAGAATCACAATGATTTTGGTGTAACCGTAATTCGTCATCAACATGTTGACGCCATATGGTCCTAGCCAGTGCGCGTTTGAGAAGGATTCACCCCCTGATAATATTCAAAACGGCGGATGTCCGGAGGGGGGCAATGCCTCTCATAAGCGCACTGGCTAGGACCATGGCGTCAGCATTTAAAATTCATGACGAATCATGGCGTGGCAGCGGTTACTCCAGTCGACCTTCTGTATGTCTTTATTCTATGACAGAATGGGGACACACATAAGTCTCACTCAGCCAAAAAAGCGTAACTGCCGCCACACCATGATTTGCCATCAAAATGTACTCACCATGTTCCTAGCCAATGCGCTTATGAAAGGCATTCACCCCCCCTGAACGTCCGCCAATTGGAATACTTTCAGGGGGTGGATGCCTCTCGTAAGCGCATTGGCCAGGAACATGGCGACATCATTGCTACGGTGACGCCAAAATCATTTTCTATTCTGTCCAACATGCAATGTACGTAAATAGTGAAAAAGAAGGAGTTAGTCTGTACTAATAAAATAAATCATATCCTTCCCGCCCACACTGAAAACATTTAAAAGTTACTACACGTTCTTTCATTGCTCTAACCTCTTTTTCCATTTTTTCCCTCATCTCTTGAACATCTTGCTCGATCTTCACACAGGTATGACACTTGAATTTGCTGTATTCACAAACTGTGCTCTCATGATGAATAATCTCCCGCTTATTAACCACCATTCCGCATTCCTCGTTTGAGCACGTCGCCGGTGCAAACCCACAATTCTTGACATGAGAATCGAGTTCTTCCAGACGAATGTACTCAGGACATCCTCGGTTAGAATAATCGCACTTTATCTTAAGCTCAGATAAATAATTGCTCGCCAGACGCGGGGCTTTACGAAGTGTTTCGACAGTCAAGTCCTCGTTACATTCTGGACACGTATGCGAGTTCACAGTTAAATGTTCAGTGATACAGCCACGACAGAATATGTGTTCATTATTTCTACACATCATTGGTTCCTTCAGAACATTGTAGCAGATAGAGCAATGAAAGTGGGCATCAACTGCTTTCTCAAAACGACTATCTTCGTAGCCATAGTTCTCTTCCGTCGGGCAATACGCCATTCCCGGGAGGACACAAATCTAAGCCGTGTGTTTGCTTACGTATATTTTTTATTCTAGTGTCCCTAATCCAATGTTCTTTAGCACCGTCTTTTAATACTCCTGTGATTCACTCGCTGTACATCGTCACATAATTTGGAAGCGAGACAAACATTACATAGCTTAATTATCAAACAGCGCCTTCGATTCGTGAGTTAGTTTCGTTTTGTGATTCAGATATTTTACATATGAATATATTATTCGGTTACAAAAATGCAAAACAGTCATCAAAACAAGCAATGAGGCGTGAGCAAGGTTACGACCTCTATAAAAGATGTTTGCCAAAACACAAAAGCCATGAGAGAGCAGCCGAGTACGTTTTGTCGGTTATCGTCGGCAATTCCCAGGTCTTATAATACTCTTATTTATCGGAGTTTATAATAGTTCCGATAATTTTTTGCGCGCAAGTATAATAAGAAACACCAAAGAGGACTGATTTAATATATCTCTATATACTGCTAAAGTGCCGTCCGCTTCTAAATCAGACCGTGTTTGCGAAATGTTTGCTTTGTGGCATCAATCTATATTCGATATTCCAAACATTTACAAGGTGGCATTTCAATTGTAACAGTAACTTCTAGTGAATGTCAGAACTAATAAGGAATTGACACCAGAATGAGGGTCGGCACTAGATCATAGACAAGATACGTACATATCTGAAGCTGCAATACATACGATTCAGCGGTATTCCATCTTTAAAATTCAAATAAATTAGTGCGCGAAATTGGAAAAAACGCGCGAAACCAAAGCAATATGGTTCCATCGAAGAGTACCCTGGAACCAGAGGGTATTTATTTTCGCCTGTTTTGAATAACCCTCTGGTGAAATTGGCGTAGTTTTTGGGTTCACATTCCACACATAACTTTCAAAAATGGAAGCAAAGAGTTGACTGGCTGCTGACTATAGGTTCGATAGACTACGTGTTCTGATTGGATATTGTAAACATCATAGCCTGTTCGCAGGCGTTTCGTGTTTTGATTGAATTGAAACATTTGAATTTTGAAATGTCTATATTATTAAATACGAAGTGACTATATGACCGGCAGCCGGTCACGGTTTATCAAATACTAAATGGCCGGCAGTCTAGTGACTATTGTTAAAGTTGAATTTTTATAATATAAACCTATCCCCAACCCCAAACCCTTTTCTAACCCTAACCCCTAACCCCTAACCCTAACCTTTTGAGAGTTAGAAAAGTCGGAAAAAAAAGTTTGAAAAATTTTAAGAAAAAACAATGCTAAGTCAGACAAAACACATCCCGACCCCGACTGCGTTTAACTTTTCGCACGCAGCGCCTTTGCCGTATGAGCTAACGGCAAGCTCGGTAAAAGTTAACGCAAACAAAAGTTTTTATATTCAACTATAGTCACTAGACTGCCGGCCATTTAGTATTTGATAAACCGTGACCGGCTGCCGGTCATATAGTCACTTCGAAACTCTTATCAGCAAACTGTATGTTGTCCCAGCATCGAATCCAACATTCTTGGTCCAACAACAGTGTTGGATATGGATGAGGATTTTCAACAAAATCAAAGCTGATCCAACGTACTAGCAAAATTTTTTTGGTGCATGATAAGTCATTCCTATCAAAGTGCAATAAAAGTATTGGATGATGTTGGCATCGTTTCAACTGGCAGCTGTCTCAAAAGACTCCAATTTGATCAATATTGACTTCTCGTGTTTCTGTGTCGTCTGTATAATTTGCAGATGCCCTAGACGCTAGAATGCCTAATGAGTTTCAAAAACTGTACGTATACTAAATTGACATGATGACATCTTTTGTGACAAGAAATAATTTACAGTAGCAGCTGTTTATATCAACATTTCACTAATAGTAATATGTATACGAAGACTATATACTTTATCGGTTTCGTGTTAAAATATTTGCTTTTCCGTTCCGTGCAAAGTTTGCTGTGCATGTATAACAAAACTGTGAAACAATAAAAATGTGAAACAATAAAAAATTGACGCATGTTCGAATTGGAAGTGAATTGGGGCATATAGAATTATTGACGTCTGTCCCATTTGATAATTAATCCTCAACAATTCTCATTTTCTATCGAAACGCAATCGTTATATTAAATTGTTATGCTAATCGGCTGTGGATACGGTTTGCGCACAAAAGGTTTAGAAATGATTGCAGTTTGTGCTTGTCTATCACAAGACTGTCGCGAAATATAAACAAATCACTTGTATATATTATCTATATATCTTTCAATTTGGGCCACGTTAATTCGCTTTCAAGTTGTTTCGTCTTCTTGTACCGCCACTGAAAACGTAAAAGGAAAAATCGGAAGGCTTCTTTCGCAGGATAATAATCATTAAAAGATCAACGAAGACAAGAATCAAGACACAACAGTCAGCGACAATATCAACACTGCTTTTCAACCTCATTTTTGGAGAAAGAAAAAAAAAGGGAAGATTCTACGAGTTACCTCTGGGTTCAACATAGTCGTAGACAGAGTGTTGTAAAACTGAAGTTTGTGTTCGCTTCCTACTTTATACAAGCAACTGGTGAAGAAGGCAAATTATATTTAGACATGGTTACTCCGACCTAAATTGAGAAGAAGCTTATCTCAGATTAAATACAGGCATGATGAATTTGGCATAAGAGCATCGAAATTTCGTCGAATTGACCAACTTGGTGTAGAATAAATTCTGACAAACAAAAGCGTCGCCGTTGTTAAAATCATAAATTGAATATAATTGTATGATCTTGTATCATTAAAACGAGTAGAAACTCGCTGGCTACCACATTAAAAAACGAGGTAAAATTACTGTCATCAACAAATATTCACTTCGCTTCTCTGGCGAAGTGAATGACAATTACGAGAAAAGGAACTCTGCCAAAAATACAAGTGTGTCAATACATCAGAAATTTCCCGCAAACGTTTTTAACGTTGAAACGGGGCTGGAGTAAACCATTAAATCGAAAACGAAGGACTAAAATTGAAAGCAAGAAACTTATCAGGGAAATTAAATTTATAGCAGCTGAAATTTATCGCATGTGAAATTGTAAACGGCACAAAGCAAATCAGATTGAAAAGGAGCCCCAACAGGGGATATTTAAAAAAGATGCGTGCTGAATTAAAAACAGCAGGTCTCCATCAAACTTGGCCGCCAAAATCAAACAGATCCCTAATCCTTATCGAGGCAGTCCATTCCGAGCGACATCGTCAGTTGCGACTTCTCCTCGATGCCGGGGTCAATGTAAACTGTCAAGATCCCGAAACGGGACACACGCCTCTTATCCGTGCCATGTTTATCGAAAACGCCCGACAACGACGGGCCATTGTAAAGACCTTACTCGGCTACGGCGGAAGAGTTGAAAAAACTGACCGCGAAGGCAAAACTGCGTTCGCGTGGGCTTGCCTTTTGGGGAGAAATGATGTTATACGATATCTGTTTAGAGAAATCCATTTAGATATTGGACTTGGTTCGATAGACAGTTCTGGTAACGATAATCTGACCCTGGCTTGCGCTTCGGGAAATCCGACTACGGTACGACTGATAGCAGATGCATTCCGAAAAGCCAGGATCGATATGAATCGACGAAACTTGAACGATGAGAATGCGATTATGACTGCGCATCGGTTAGGGTTTTACGATTGTGTGAAAGTTCTCGTCGAAGATGGGTACGTTGCAACGACAATGCCGAAGGAAGTACTGTATGGTGAGGAGAGAGGTACCTCGAGCGTTCATGCTCGGGTGTTGCAACAGGCTCCTAACCGCTGTATCACTTTGCCACAGATCTTTTCAATGTACAGCGATCATTTGACCAATTCTTTTCCTCGTTCAATTTCAAAGCGATAAGACCGATACTGAATATTCTATAATGCGTGTAAATAAAATATCATAATATATAAAAGACAAGCGTGTGACTATTTATATTTAGAAGTGGAGTGTACTTATATGATTCAGGGGAATAAGGGGGCATCCATTTAGTACGCACGCTAAATTTTGGCAATATTTTACACCCCTTGCCTCCTTGTATGATATTGTCCGCCTTTTTAGCACACCCTCTCCTGGCTATAAGGTTCGCCGAAATCCGGCATTCTTCATAGCCACAAACTGTGCATGGCTACAAGGTTTGCTGAAAACAGGTAATAAATTAAAAGAACAAGCTGTCATTGGTAGGAATGCAACTACCTCAAAATATATAAGGAGAATTTCGACGTTTCGAGCGAAGGCCCTTTGTCTGGAGTTACTAGCGAAGTAACTCCAGACGAAGGGCCTTCGCCAGGTAGTTTTTTTAATTGGCACTACCTACATTGGCAAAGACAGTTCAAAATAATAAATTAAAATCCAAATACTCTATGATATAATGTAGCTATCTAGCATAAACTGCTACCCCAACCCCAACATACAGTAGAGGTACCTGCTCATGAAACTACAGCACCTACGGATCTCCAAACACATGCTATAAAATCCCTGGGCCTGGCTACAATTTGACCGGTATACCAATTATAGCCACGGTAATAAAGTAACCAAACACTGCATGGTATACTGCATTATCCTGTATCTATATTCCACAAATTTGAGTACATAAAAATGCGCGCAGTACCTCCTGAGCTGTAGAGCCTGCTCGCAGGCTACCTGAGCTGTATCAGCGGAGGTATGTGCTTTAGCAGTTTACGGAATATAGGTACATTGGTACATACTGAAAATGCAGTAATTTAGTGAGTTTTTATAGAGTTCACTGGTATACCTTGAATTGTTCGGTTACCTCATGATTATCGTGGCTATAAAGTATACAGGTCAAATTAAAGGTGGACTATTAGCTATCCTGGTTGGAGGGGAGGGGGAAATTTTCCTTGCCAAGAATTATTTCTTTATGTTCGGAGCTTTGTCGACCTTTTTTACGGTGTAGAAGCGTGAATATTCCATGTAGTTCTAGGGATTTTTCTTTTTAAATGCTTGCAAGAATTTTTTTTCAAATTCTACATTTTGGGGGATATGCTCCCCCCCCTCCCTCCCAGGAATTTCGCGACAATGATTTCCCTCAACCCGCGCGTGGTACACGCAAAGTCATCGTATCCATGGCAACGTGTTTCATGTATACTCCGCCATATTTGAAAAAGATTTGTTTTGAAAATTCTTGCACATAAAAGTCTTTTGTCGAATAGTTTTTAGAAACAGTATCGATATAGTTTATCTTTAAGGTAGGACATGTATTTTTGTTAAACGTATTGTCATTGAATAATAAAACATGGTAGTCAGCTTAGGCTTGACTTCGCACACATGACATGATGACAACATACAATATTGTTGACTCCTGTTATTTTAGTACATAAATCTTATTTAAGTGTACAACATGTCGGTTTAGCTTTAAATTAGAGTTGTTTTGTATCAGAATAGATTAATTTGTTGGTAAATTTTAGCCTACTGTAAAGGAAAATAGCAATATTGGGTATAAAAAGATGTGATTCCAGATTGATTCCATGAAGCTATTTTTAATATACTAGTACTAGAGTACTAGTTGTCTTAAGTAAGTTGGTTTCTAAAAAGCATCTCCCATGGCCCGTAATATGGTCTTTAAAAATAGCGTTTGTTGTCTTCCCGTAATACAGCTGAGGAAGTGACAATTAATTATTACTTTACTCTGTCTAATGCCAGATGATTTTACTAATCAAGGGGAGAGTCTGCCACTCATTGCGTTAGTAACTAACTTCCAGGTAATCAAGATCCAAGAAAATGGAGATTGTTTACGTTTATACAAAGAAGAGAAATGAGTTTGGTCGGCAATGTAATTTCTCGGATCGACAAGCAGAACTGCATGTTGATATTCCGCCAGACGAGAAGCTTGCCGGGGACTATATTGAGAGAAATCCATGTGACACTGGTATTCAGTGCTCACAAGAAATGTCCGAACACGAGGTAAAAGATCTCTGGTTTAATCTATTTGAGTGTGGCAGTTATGACCAAGTGTGTGCATTTAACTTAACGTTCCTGTTTTGCAGTTGAACACTGAGAGATTTGAGACAGAAAGCCGTGGTATCAACCATGTTGAAGGTGGTTGGCCAAAAGATGTCAATCCAGCTGAAGTGGAACAAACCATTCGGTTTCGAAAGAAAGTCGAGAAAGATGAAAACTACATCAATATTATCCAGCAGCTTGGATCGGTAAGAGTTGCGACATGTTTTAATGAAATGCTGAGCTGCAATAGTTAAAGATTGTTGGCTAAACCTGTCTGCTACTCCAACAATTATTGCGTGCTAAAATAGAATTGATTGATTCATTGAATGGATATTAAATTTACAACAGTCAATATTTTGTTTAGGTAATGGAACATTGTATCCAACAGAATAATGCAATTGATATTTATGAAACATATTTTCACGATATTGAAAGTGATTCTTCTGGTGAACCGCCATCAGCTAAAACTATTAATGTTTTCAGGTTCGTACTTCATAGAGGTATACTTCGGGTGTGGAAAAAGTATCAGCTAGACCATCAGGACCTACTGGTTCCCCAGAAAATTTTCCCCCATGAAAGTGGTCATAGAAAGTAAAATATTTTTCCATCCCTGGTATTTTCTGTCTTCAGTGTAAATTTTATTGAGCTAGTACATAAGACAATCTATGTTCCATCATAGGGATCCAAATGAGAGGAAAAGGACAGCAACAAGTCTGTCATGGTATCCTGATGGTGCAAGAAAACTGGCAGTGTCCTACTCCATTCTGGAATTTCAAAAGTCTCAGTCAGACACACCCATGGATTCATATATTTGGGATATAGGTTTGTGGCTTGTGTGATCATTAGTTTGGAGCTTTGGCGGTGCAATTGCCTTTCAACTCTGAGTTTGTGGGTTTGATTCGTGCTGCGGACTTATGACACTTCTGTGAAGATTCGGTACTCTGGTTTCCTCCCACAAGGAGTGTTGACAGTGTGGGTTGGGCTTAGCCCCAAAGTGACCAAGAATCTACCCAGCGCTTCTACTGCAGCTGTGCTCTGTGATCAGACATCAGTCCTAAAGTGTCTTCCATAGGTGCCCTAGCTTTTAAAGCCTTCAACTTGATCAGCTGCAAGTAAGGATGATTAGCGCACTCACACCTACATGCATGAATCAAGCTGCTTAAATCCTCATTGTTTTTTAGAAAATCCAAACAAGCCTGAGTTAGCGTTAAAGCCTGTTTCACCCCTGGTGTGTCTCGAATACAATCCCAAAGACCCACATATCCTGATAGCTGGCTGTTATAATGGACAGATAGGTAAGGCAATGTACTACTATACAACATAACTGTTTCCTTTTAGCGTTGACCGCCTTGCACTACACTGTCTTTCTTGTGCAGCCCACCCATACTAGCTATCAGCATTTTTACATAGTGTTTATATACAGCATCAGATTATTATACAGTGTTTTCAAGCTTGCAAAAGTTCACCATTTATTGGCATAACCCAGATTAAACTTTAGTATTTATAAGCTTTACAAGTATTTTTGCAAAGGTTGAAAAAATCACAGTCGTTCACAGGTGGATTAGCACTGTAAACCCTGGGTTAAAATTTAACCTAAAATTTAACCTGCTGTTTTAGTTTATGTAGCTCTACACATCTGAACATTGTTTCAAAACTTCAGAGAAGTAAACTCCTATCGATCCAGACAAGATTTCTGAAGAAACATTTCCAAACTTATAGACAAGCTGTCAGGAAGTTTGCTTTGAACTTTAGGTTAACCTCTGGGTTAGGCTTTCGTACAACCGAATCCTGAGCTGTTGGATTGTTTCTCATTTAGGATTCTGGGATACAAGAAAAGGCTCCCACCCAGTCGAGGTGACGCCCATAGAAAAAAGTCACCGCGATCCTGTCTACAAAGGGATATTTTTACAATCAAAGACAGGTACTTTATTCTTCATGGACTTAGCAACAAGATATAACAAACAAATAGCAACAACAGTTCACAATCACCACAACAACAACAACAACAACAACAACAACAACAACAACAACAACAACAAGATAAACAACAACGACAGCAACAAGCTCAACATCAATAACAACAACAACAATTTCAACATCAGCAACATAAAACACGAAACAATATCAATAAAGACATATTAATAAAAATAACGTACGTACACATACCTTGAAAACGTCCTCTTCAATAATTCCTGAAATATTTTCAACTTCATCTCTATTTGAACAACTTTACCAGGAACGGAATGCTTCACAACCAGTACAGATGGTCAAGTGCTGTGGTGGGATATACGTAAGCTTGGTGAACCAACAGAGAGTTTATTACTGGTGCCGAACCCTAAAGAAAACCCTCGTCCAATGGGAGGAATGTCTTTGGAATATGAACCGACTATGCCGACGAAGTTTATGGTGGGTACGGAACAAGGCTCGGTGTTGCTATGCAACAGAAAAGCGAAGACACCAAGTGATAAGATTGTGTGCTCGTTCACGCAGCACTATGGGCCTGTTTATGCTGTACAGGTAAGTGACAGGCCTGGAAAATATATAAAGGCCCGTCTTCCAATTTTCGGTGCGATTTTCTTCTTCTGATGAATGTGAACGAGTGGATGAGTTATGAATGTTCAGATGGGGTACACATACTCAGAACTATGTAGATGAAACTGACCACTCGTTCATGAGTAGATGACTACTCGTTCACGTGAACTGAATTGACCATTTGCGTAATAGACTAAATTTTGATCTCAACAAAAATTTCATCACAGCTTGAAAGAGCATCACAAAATTAGTAATATTCCAAAGTTTCGTTACAAAATGTTGTAAAATTTTAAATGCGGAAAATATAGCCTTGCGAAATTTGCAATTTTCAGTCATTTTAGATTACAAACCGGAAATTAGCCTCGAAGGGTGTGGGGCTGTCAATTTCCCGTTTGTAATCTAAAATGACTGAAAATTGCAAATTTCACAAGGCTATATTTTCCGCATTTTACAACATTTTGCAACGAAACTTTGGAATATTACTAATTTTGTGATGCTCCTTCAAGCTGCGATGAAATTTTTGTCTAGACTTGTTTAGTTCAAAATTTAGTCTATTACGCAAATGGTCAATTGTGAATTGAATTTTATTTGATTTATCAACACATAAAGATTACAACACAACAAATTACATAATTTAAGGCCCCAGTTACACGATACCAGATTCGCATCGGAGTGGCATCAAATTTTACAGTTTCAAGGGAACTGTTAGTAGCACTCAAAATTATGATAATATAACAGAATTAGTCAAAAACTTCAAATATGAAAAGTTGTAAGAGGCCGAAAAGCGTCTTAGTTGATGTCACTCGACTCGCTCCGATGCGAATCCGGTATCGTGTAACTGGGGCCTAATTTTATCGTATTGCATGGTGACAAGGAAGCCAAAAGCGAAACCACAAGGCTTGTATAAATTTAGGCTCCCTTTTAAATGTACACCTAATGTACATTTAGGCTCCCTTTAAAATATACAAAATGTCAAAAGGCTCCTTTTTAAATGTACAGTACAATAAAATTACGAAGTGCAGACGTGTTTGAACTTGCACTAATATTTTACAAGATAATTATTAATAATTTAAACACAAATATCGTACGGTTTTAACTTCTGTGTTGCGATAGAAGTAATCGGTCTTTACGTTATCGCCACATGTGACCATGTACTGGCACTTCTCTTTAGGCATGTGCACAAGGGCGTCGTTTCCGAGCGTTTTCAAAAACTTTTTGTCCCTTTAATCGTTTTGACGCCTTGTTCACACGGTCCAAAGAAAAATATCTCCAATGTATCAAATAAACTACAGCTTCTGTCGTAAATAGTGCTTGCATCCGTCTTAGCGTGAAAACACAAATGAAAACGCTTGCAAACGTTATCGTGTACACATAGTCTCAATCAACTCACCTCCGTTGCAACCCGAGTAATGATTTTAAGTTTTTAACTCAATTCCCAAATTGTGGGACCGTAGGCCATGCAAGATACTTACATTTATGCTTAATGTGGCAATTCTATTTCGTAGAGAAATCCGTTCTTCCCGAAGCAGTTTTTGAGCGTGGGAGATTGGGGGGCCAGGGTAAGTTTTAGATGATTTTAATCGTCAAGGAGAAAATTGTGGATATCAGCTTTCTTCTTTTATTGTTATATACTTGCTGAACAGGAGTCGGGAGCACTCAATATTCTTATTACTTTTGAACATAGATTTGGTCCGAAGATTTGCGAGATTCCGCTATCATGTGGACAAGGTAGGATGAATGTACACTCCAAGTTGATGAACTTTCTTTGGACCACATCACAAACTTTCACTCTCATCTTTTATGTATCCCAGATGGCCTCCTATAAGCCCCGGTCAAACGAGGGAGGTGGGGGGCGATGGGGGGGGGGGTGTAGCAGTGCTACCGAACAAGCTGCAGCAGGGGTCTGGTGGCACAGTTGTTAAGTGGGGGTGAGCACCTCCATGAAAATCCGTCTATGGTGCCAATCAACACATCTTGATGAGAAATTCTTTGTGTTAATTTAGGGAAAACATGTCTTACATGACAGACGGTTGTTGGAGTCCTGTGCGACCTGCAGTATTCTTTACTACTAAAATGAATGGTACAGTGGATGTTTGGGACTATTTGTTCAAGCAAAATGATCCAACTCTTAGCATACAGGTACAGTATATGGCTACCTCGATTTACAGGAGTAAGAATCCCATTGAAAAATAGAAAGCTTTATTTTGCATTTGTACGTGTGTAGGTTTGCGACGAAGCATTGAATTCTCTCCGTGTACAAGACCAAGGTCGTCTTGTGGCATGTGGTTCTCATGCTGGTACTGTTACCTTGCTGGAACTGTCAGATGGTCTTTGTAATATACAGAGGAACGAGAAGTCATCTGTTAATGCGGTAAATGTGGTAGCTTAGGTTAATAGCGAAGATAACAGCGTTGAATTGTACGCACTGGATGGGCGTCGTCGCTCTTCTCATCCTTATCCGTATTATACTTTACAAAATATTTTCTCTAGATGTTTGAACGGGAGACGAAACGAGAAAAGATCTTGGAGACAAGACATCGTGAGATGAAATTGAAAGAAAGATCTAAAAGTCAACAAGAGAAGTACGAAAGCTCTTGATTTGAGTTCATTATCAGGAGTCATTGATTGATTGTTTGTTGTGTTGTTGTTTTTCTTCTTTTTTTTTTTAGGGGGGGGGCAGGGGATCACTATACCATCGAGAAGTTTTAAAGACTTTTAAAATGTCACTAACCTTACAGTGTGGAAATCCAATTTCCATAGTATAGATTTAGTAACACAAGTAGTCTTACTACTGAAGGGAATCTGGGGCAAAATTATAATCAGACAAGAGAAAATTATAATCACAGAGAAAAGAGTGACAGTCTTTTTGACACTCATTTTGTTTTCAGAGATGATGCGGAAAAACAGGACGAGGAAAGCGAAGAAGATCTGATCCAGAAAGCTGAAGCAGATTTCTTCGCCGTGATTGAAGCCGAGATGAAGATCCGTGATACGAAAGAGAAACAACAGATGGAGTCGTTGAAACAAATGAACAAAACTTTAACCGGCGATGGAAATCAGGTGAACAATATGAACGAAGAACTGTTAGAGAAAGATGAGGTATTGGTTTTCAGTTCTGTTTCATGTAGTGTAGGTTATAGTTCTGCTCCGGAATCGCAGGGCTGAGAAAAACGTTTCCGAATCACTAAAACAGTGATTGTTCGAGTCGGTAGATGCAAAAATCGATATCACCATGATTGAAAACAACAGAGGAAAGGTCGTTTGACCAGCTTGATAATTCATTGCAAATTTCGGTCAAGATCTGCCGCTATTTTGATTGACTTTCCATGATGCCTTCCACGCCTAGTATTGCGATCGCAAGTGTTCATGGTAATATCATAATGCCAACATCATCATAATCCCAAGTTGCCAACTAGCGTCATACTGCCAAAAGTTCAAAACTAACATCATAATGCCAAAACTAACTTCATAAAAGGAAAACTAACTACATAAATGCGAAAACAACAAAATAATTGTAAATCTGTAGCATTCGATAAACACATCAGAGCTAAAAATCGACTAAATACCCATCCCTGGCCAAAAACGTTACAAAAGGATACCATGTGTCTCCTGACAAATCGGAAAATGATCAAGATAGTGACTCTGATTGATTTATATATTGTATTAACATATGACTGTTGGCATTGCTTTTTATGGTCGTCAATGTTTGAGTGAGTCATGCTTTGGAAATGACACTAAACTTTTATTACCCAACCCTTGAGTTGTTTTGTTTTTCATTTACCCAACCTTTTACTCACTCACGATTTTGTTTACCCAACTTTCTCATTAACTTTCTAAAGCAGGCAACAGGAAATTTGTTGGCACTCACTCCTGTTAATATTTCATTGATATAGGACGAAGTTGCACAATCCCCGCGGGTGTGAGAAGTCAATGTACAGTTCGTATACGCAACATACCGGGTCGGTTTTGTACAACACATGTAAATATAAAACGATTAACAAATTGCAGCAGTTATGGCGGAAGGTGATATGTATTTAATATATATCAGGTTAACTTCTAATCGGGTTAACTTTTATTGTAATTAAATTGCTTTCATTAACATACATAATTTGGTTTGCGAAGTTGGCCGGTCATCTATAGAGCTTTAGGCGAGCTAGAAAACAATGTTGATATTATGATGAAAAAACTTGATTCTTTCTTGAATGCATATTTTCGTGTTTGTTCACCCTGCATGTTATGGAAACCTGTTATGGATTCCACCTTGCTGTTTCCTCAAAGACCTCAAATGGTTCCCTTATTTGCCCACCCTTGAAAACACAAATTCCTCTCTTTGAACATAAACTGTTATATAGCCAACAAATTCACAAATATTTGTTTAGTAGGCTCGATACATTGTTTTTTTGGTTTTTAACGTCCTCAACCCTTGACAATTTACTCAAAAGTAATTCACAATATATATCCAATTTTTAGTTAAATAATTTATGATGAGCTTAGTTTTTAGTTAAAAAAACTAACAGTATAATATCAATGTTAACTTTTTGTAGAAAATTACTTGCTATATGTTTAAACAAAATACTTAGTGCACTTCACGTTGGGGTCCCGTTTTGGACCCTGGCGCTTTCCGGTTTGGGCCCCGAGTTCCATCAGATGCGGTACTTCCTTCACTACTACTTTCAATCCTCGAATGAAGCCTGGCTCTTGAAGCTGCACAATTAGCATAATACATGGGCGCGGGTATGAACACTGATCTTGTACACCGCACATAAGTATAACATGCACGCTATTGTGTTTGGTAGCGCACTTGGTGGCGCTACTGTATTGTGACGTTATTGTGGCGCTATACGCTGTGACTGCCGTTTTATGCTAATGATATGCGGCGCGCCTCTGCTCACACTGCATATTTAATGAGCTCATCTCTGCTCACCCCTAAAAATCAGGGTTGAACGGTACCTATATTACTATTATGTTACTTGCCCATTTTTAAGCAAAGTACATAGTGCAGTTCACGTTTGGATGGACTGTGACCAAATTCCTTATTTCCTGGGTGACCTCTTTGGGCCCGGAGTCATCAGAGTAGTACGGTAGTACTGTCTTCAGTACTACTTTCAATCTTCAAATGACGTCTGGCTCTGAACGCAACATGGTGGGCATAGTAGGCGGGGGCGGGGATAGATACGGACCTTGCACACCGCACATAGGTGTAACACAACTGATTGGTCAGAATCTGTAAGTCGTCTGACTTGAAATTGCTGTCATCGTACAATACATGATAGAGGGCTGGCTTGCTTGTGCCTTGTGTAACAGCATGGCTGCAGAGGTACCAATTGAATTCATACGGATGACAGACCTGTGTATCAACCACCGTACCTATATACATAACAAGGAATATAAAATTTCTGGAGAAAAACCCTCGAAGTGGGTAGCCGGTAGGGTTCGTAGCGGTCTTTGAAATCCTTGAAGGTCTTTAAATTGGAATGAAGGTCTTTGACAAGTCTTTAAATTGTGTGAAAAAGCGAAGAAAGTCTTTAAAAGTCTTTAACTTCTTTAGTGAGGAATTGATTATACGATTTCCTAGCTAATAAAATAGATTGATTGAATAGATTGATTGAATCAAGATTTTCGCAAATATCGACGAAAATGCGCATTTGAGGATGTGATTTGACGGGACTGATTACTGGGTAAAAATGGTGCTTACACTCGCCATTTTTCGACAGCTGATTGCTCTCAAAGATCTTTGAAAAGTCTTTGAAAATAGGCAGAAAAAATCTTTGAATTTTTTTGGTCTTGGAGACTACGAACCCTGTATAAGTAATACCCTCAACCTACAGTAGCCGGTATAACAGCTTGTATAAGCAATAGTTGAATATCTAACACACTTACGATTTACTAACTTTACTATATATACACTGTAAATTGAAATAATTCAAAACAAGTATAAGCACGTATAAAATTCACCGAGAATTCACAATTCTTTTGATTTGACATTAACATGCGTCTAACATGAGAAATGGTAGAGAATATTTTTATGATCTTCAAACTATATTGAGGAAGAAAAAAATGCTGTCCGAACTAAAATATATCGATGACAATTTCTTGTCTTAAAGTCCCGTTTAAACTACGCTCGATTTTTGGTACCGTACCACTTTTTTGGTTCGAAAAGAGTGGTACGGAGACCAAAAAAATGGTACGGGTACCAATTTTATCCGTGCCGTACCAAAAATTGAGCGTAGTGTAAGCGGGGCTTAGACTCTTAGCTAGAGGATTGTACAAAAAGAGGTACAAAACATTAGCAAATCACCACTGTACCTGCTGGTATATTCCTGCTCTTCCCCATTTGGTCTCTCGGATCGACTGCAAAAAATCTAGCATAGTGACGCTTCTGGACAACGATAAAAGTTATAGCAGGGGTGTACCCCTCTTGCAGCTCACGACATGCCTTTTGAATCGCCCACAATTCATTCATGAGGACATCTCGGTACTGCCCCTCGCTAACGCCATCTCGGTAAAAAATTATCTTTTCAGGAATCGCTCTTGTTGAGGCCCGAAATTTCCTCAGAAGTATTTTGACCATTTCTTGAAGATCTGCGATAATTTGTTGACGGTGTGTTTGCACACGGACTTCGGCATTGTAGAGGGTCGGGTAAGAATCTTTGCTTGCTACAACGGCTGCAGTGGATAGCTTAGATTTGTCTCCAGCTCCAGGATGGGTGACATGACCACCTAGACAAGAGACAATGTCATTTTTAAATCCACCTAATATATAAAGCCTGGTTTTATGTAATATTTGAAATACGACTATGAGGATTGGACTAGATTTCAAGTCGGCGCAATGGACCATTTGCATTATAGACTTAATTTTGATTTAGACAAAAATTTCATCTTGAAAGAGCATCACAAAATTAGTAATATTCCAAAGTTTCGTTGCGAAATGTTGTACAATGCGGATAATATAGTCATGCGAAATTTGCCGTTTTTCAGTCATTTTGTATTACGCACGGGAAATTGACAGCCCAATCGGGTGTTGGTGCATCAATTTCCCGTTTGTAATACAAAATGACTGAAAATTGCAAACTTCGCAAGGCGATATTATCTGCATTTTACAACATTTCGCAACGAAACTTTGGAATATTACTAATTTTGTGATGCTCTTTCAAGCTGTGATGAAATTTAGTCTATAATGCAAATGGTCCATTTAGTCACGCCCGAGGCGAAGTCGAGGATTGGATCAAAATGCGAGGACTTGAAACTGATCTAGTCCAGTCCTCATAGTCGAATTTGAAATGACATCTCATACAATCTCGTTCCCCGAGCCTGCGATCCTCGGGAAGGAATCGAAGGCTCTGGGATAATCCGTTACCGGAAGCCAAGAATCCTGGCTAAGATTGAACTACGCATTCCATTTCAATGGCCAATCAGATTCCTACCTGAAACGGATTATCCCAGAGCCTCGCGTTCCTTCCCGAGGATCGCAGGCTCGGGGAACGAGATTGCATCTCATACGAATAAATCACTACTTAATGAATTTTGATCCAGTCCAAGGACTGAATTAATCTTGATCCAATTATTAATGAGTTTGAGATTTAGTCATAACTGTCGTGAACCAGTGGCGTACCCAGGGTTTACAAAGTGGGGGTACAAGTTGAGCGGCGAAGGCGCGAACAATATAGGGGGCTCGGGGGGTATGCTCCCCGGGAGCATTTTGGGGTGAGATTTTACAAAAGTTGACTAACATAGATAATGAGTTATATTGTTATTCTAATGAGTTTCGGCCCCTGCAGATTATTATTGAGACAAACCAAGTTATTATTTAGCATAACATCAGGGATGTGTTTCACCCTAGACATTTTTGGAACTGAATATATGAGACTAAATTAAAAACAATTAAAGTATACCATACCAAATATGATAACTGGGCGATGAAGGATTGGAGACTTAACTCCCCAGTCAAGGATACAGGTTGTACCACCGAGTTTGGCATTTATCTTGAGCCACAAGTTAACGAGCGTCTCTCGTTTCCTCCAATCAGAGAAATCGCTTGAAGCTTGCTCGACCTTGATGCATTGCGTGGTGATACCATGAACGACATCGCCACAGTGCTTGACTTCCTTGTAGTAATCGTCGCCATTCACTGGTAAGACAACAACAATTAACTGCAAATTAGGATAACAAGTCTTGAGACTACCGAATAGTTTATCAGTACCATGAAAACCTGTTATTGTTCTAACATAGCATGGCTTCTCGTTAACGCGTACCCCTTTTTCACGACCGACGTCCACCAGATGGTGAATGAGATTGTCAATTCCACAATCATCAAGGTATTCTGGGCCACGGTATCTACCACCTCTTCCCCTCTTTGATTGGCAGTCATTAATGTAGGAAATCAAGGCCCACTCCCTCAAGTCCTTGGGATCAAGCATTTGATTCCTTATTTCCCATGACCCATTGCAAGGCATTTCTTTTTGTGGTCGGTGACCTGGACCATACATTAGAAGTGGTGGGTGTAACACACGTCCCTGTATAGTGACCATTTTATTGCCAATACTGATGCCAAAGTCTCGGCTATATGGGTCACTTTCGTAGTGGAGTTTTCTGATCAACTCTGTAATTTTCTGCAGGCGATCTGGTGCAGGTGTGGCAGTGTGGCGAATCATCTGTTGCGTTTGTGCTCCCGTCAATTTACCCTGCTTCTTTTGTCCATCAACAACTCGACAAAGCTCTATCGGGATGAGGTTTCCCTTCTGGCCAATCTTAATACACGGCAGATCTGGATATTGCAAAGTGATGTTGTACTGATCTTTGAAGTAATTCAACACCGAAACCTTTCGACCTTCGCAATCGAATGTTTCATCTTTGGCCGACTTGAAAGACAGACCGCTGGCTTTTTGTTTTCTCTTTATGTGTGTTGTTTCAACTTTTATTGCTTTTATTTATTTGGCAAATTTCTTTCGTTGTCCCTCGTCCAAACGTCTTCGCAAATTTCGCAGATTAAGAAAATCACACATAAAGTCTATCACAGACTGTCCTTTGTAGAAACCTGTAGCACAAGTATCAACATTCAACATCATCTTCCATTGTGTTAGACGAATGCTAAAAAACGTCCCGTTCCACACTTGCATACCCCCGCCAAGGTCCTTTTCGCGACCGGTCGGATAATCAAAGAACGAATTACGGTATTTACGGACTTGGATGGTCCTCATTTTTGGCAATTGTCGCAGAACAGTCTGGATTGCTTGCATGGTATCAAATGGTATTTCAGTTTGTCGTCCTTCAAGGGCTTCATTAAGGTAGTAAAGACTGACGACAGCAGCATGTTTAACATCGACAATGAACTCTTTTTCTCTACCATTGTCTGTGGTGTACTGTAGATTGTACCTTCGACTGTCCTTTCCTATTCCAGGGATCAGAGTGCGACAATACATGTTCTCGCCGCTCTTATCATATACCAATTTAGGACCACTTGGATTTTCCTTCTCGTATATTTTCACAACCTCTTGGATAATTTTTGGGGCTTCAGCCCTCGTATACCCCTATCCGCTTTTCTTTCCTTTCTCTCTGATATCTGTGTCGTAATGATGGATATCACCGGTGGGTATTTTCACAGGTAGAAAGTTCGCTCGAAGTTGGATAGGTCGTCCAGATCTGCCTCCCCTGTCTGGTCGTCGTGGTGGCTTAATTGATACGACTTTATCCGAAAGTGGGGGAACACTCTCTTGACCTTGGGGGGGGGGGGCAGGTTTTTCTGCCCCGCAAGAAGATTGGGGTTGCTGAGTGGGTGTGGGTTTAGTTGTGGTGGATGGTTGTGATTGTATTGATGGGTGGACTCTGGGAGGTGGGGGACTTTGGGGACTGGGACTGACTTGAGATGCTATTGAGAAATGTCCGTGTGATCTACTCAGTAGGGTCGCAGTGCTCGTAAAGTCGATTGTGATTGGTTGTTCGTAATTGGCGGTTGCGGTGGTTGCAGCCAATCATCAAGTGAAGAATGCTGCTGCAGGGAAACCCCATTGAAAAATTAAAATTCTGGAATATTAAAAGTGTGAAATCACAACACTATGAATATCAGCCTAGACCTAGGCCTTCTAGTCTTATTTGTATTTTTTAGTATTCAGCGGTTTTTCACATCAAAAGACTGGGACTAGGTGATTTGGGGGCGGGGCGGAGGAACCAAGCCTAGAAGGCCTAGTTGATTTCCCAACAACAAGGCCAAAACTGCCCTGAAACTGCCCTGGTTGCGAAATGCCCAATTATTGCGTTCTCAAACAGAATTATTTGCAACTTAACGGCGAATTTAAACCGATACAGGTAAAATAAACTCATTTATAGTATAAACTTACTATTTTTATTTGTATACACGTCTAGAAAATCGGTTTTTTATCATAAAGTTCGAAGCAACACTATTATTTAATATGTTGACAAGGTGTAGCGAAAGAACAAAATGAGTCAAAATATATACCAAAAGTAGAATCTTTCATGAAATTTTGTCTTATACACAAGTACATTAATATATATTTTCTCAATTTTGGCAAGAAGCAGTCTTGTGTTTGTAAAATATACAAAATAAAACGGATACATATATTATTAGCCCGTACAGTACTGTATATAAAAACGTACATTGTTTATACAAATGGTATATCTGTAATATTTGAACACTAATTTCAAATTCCTCATTCCCAATTCGCAAATATAGTATTCAAAGCAAAACAGTAGATTGTTTTGCGAATAAAAGAATTATTATTTTGTGCCGTTTCGCTACACCTTGTCAACATATATAAATAGGGTTGTTTCAAACTTTATGATAAAAAACCCGATTTTCTAGACGTGTATACAAATAAAAATAGTAAGTTTATACTATAAATGAGTTTATTTTACCTGTATCGGTTTAAATTTGCTGTTAAGTTGCAAATAATTCTGTTTGAGAACGCAACAATTGGGCATTTCGCAATCAGGGCAGTTTCAGGGCCGTTTTGGCCTTGTTGTTGGGAAATCCACTAGGCCTTCTATATTTTCGCTTGCGTCAGGCTTGTGTCCTTCCTCCGCCCCGCCCCCAAATTACCTAGTCCCAGTCTTTTCATGTGAAAAAGCGCTGAATATTAAAAAAATATAAATAAAAATAGAAGGCCTAGGTCTAGGCTGTATGAATATGAAGTTTTTATGGATGATTGGATGAACTATTTTATGAGCACTGCGACCCTACTTACTCATGTTACAGTCTTACCAGTGAGTATATAAAATATTACAATTATTGTATTTATACTTGCATTCGAAAATATTTTCGTATTAAAAAATGGCAAGTTCGCGACAGTCCGATCAGGCAGTACATGCGAAAATCTACTGCCGAGTATTACTTCTAGCTGAAGGAAGGTTATAGATCGAATATTTTACCACAACAATAAGTAGTATTTACAACATGAGCGGCCGTGTTGTTATCGGATATACAAACTAGAGCCAAAGGAGAGTTAAATTAATATGAAAGTTTTTGAGGAGCTTTAGTTAAAATATACAATATATCACTATTTTTCACATTGTAGTAACAAAAGGTTAGAAAGACTGCGAGAAAATTTTTTAAATGAGTTTATAGTTGATTATAACAGCAAATTTAGCTTGTTGGGTACAAATAATTTATTTTTATACTGTGTGTCAATGAATGACAAAAACATTATTAATCCTACGGCCAAGTACATATACGAAATTATGAATATTTTTTTAGATCTTGCCTGCATCTAGCTCTTCCTTAACTTGTCCTTGTTTAAATTTTGTCATTGTTGTAAATATTATTACTCTTGTTCCATTATGTTATTTTTATATAGCTTATAGACATTTGCTGTATTCTTTATATACCAGTACTGGTATTTTTTAAGTTGACAACCTTATGTCTAAAATCGCGAGTATATTTAAAATGTTTATAAAGAGTGTACAAGTTGTTAATTGTTTTGATAAACTTTCGATTAGATTTCGATAATTTTGTCGACTTGGATGTTATAACGTGAATCTGTGCGAGTATAAACGTGACTGAAATTTAATACTAGAATATGGTTTCTTTCTTTATCAGGATATTGAATAGGCACATTATCAATATTAAAGAATCATTGGCCCAACATGCTACAAAAAATATGGATATAAAAGGCCTTGGTTAGTTTTTAATAGCGTTTAATATTAAATTAATATTATATGTTAATTATAAATATTATATGTTTCCAAATTTAACCTATTAACTGGAAGATTAAAAGATATTAACCCATTGAGCCACAATGCACCCTACTTATACAAAAATATGACAATGTCTCTAGTTACGTACCATTGAGATGCAGTTCCCCCCACTTAATTTTTTTACTGGTCTAAATGCCAGATGATTTTACTCATCAGTCGGGAAGCTATGCAGTTTAATGGGTTAAAGAGTATTCGCATGAGATCAATATATTCTAGTTGTAATAATTATAGTGGATTAGCAAGCAACAGCCTAGAATCAAATTCAGCCCTGTTGACCAGGATGAAATTTCAGCCCTGCTTTACTACTATAAAATCCCAATAAAATTTGTGATTACATGACAAATTTTCAACCCAAATGAAAATTCAAGTGAAATTCCATCCCGGTTGAACTCACTAGCCCCTGACAGTAGCTCACATGCATATATAATTAACCTTGGGGCTGAAATCGTCCATGTATTGTAAAAATTTTCCAGCCCATTCAACAGTGCTTGATTGATATTGATTCAACCAGGGGGTTGCTAATGCTTTCTATAATCAGTCCTTAATTGCTTATGGATACAGTTATGTAACATTGATGTTTGTTTTTTTCTATTGTAGTACTTGTAAGTTGTTAAAAACATTTGTTATTCATATGAACAAAAATTGCTATTAAATTTATATTTTGAATGTTTGGATTAATGACTCTCCTTTCTTCCAGCAGTATTTATAAGCAATTTAGGGTGATTGTGAATATAAGAAAGGGTGTGGTAAGAAAAGGTCAAATCGAAAATATTGTTTAAGTGGTTGGACATAGTTTTTGTCTTTAAATTACTGGTATAAATGTAATATCAAATCTGCTGTGATATTGTTACCACATTAATCTACTATGGTGCTACCTAGTTATAAACTAACCAATTCTCATAGCTTTAATGATACAAAATAATCTGTTGTATCAAAATACTCCTGAATGTAGCTTGAAATGGACAAGCATTTCCTCTGTAAATCCCATTATATATTATATTTATTAATCAGAAGAGACTGATAAGTTCTCCTTGAGGAGCTTTTAAATAATAATTAAAAGCTATGATTAGTATAACTAAGATTACAACAATTCGCAATCTTGACTTCTTGGTTTTTCCTATGATTTTCCAATGATGTTGGTGTAACCGCAATTCGTCATTGAAATGCCGATGCCATGGTCACAGCCATGCAGGGGCGTGGCTAAGGGGGGTGCCGCATCCCCCCAATGCCGTGTCCGTCGGCACAATAAATCAGTTGTCGGCAAAATGAATTGGATCAAGCCAATAGGCAATACCTGATTGGAATGAGATTGTTTGTAGAAAATTTGTAGAAAATGCGAGATCGAAAAGATGGATATGTCGACTGAAAGCTCGGTCCTTTTCCAAATTATTACTCTAATACGCTATTTAATAGTATTAAATTTTCTTGCAATTTTGTGAAATATGATACCATAGGAAACTCTTCATTTTATAATTTTGTAAAGCCAGTAAAGGTCTTAGAAATTACCCCTAACGGTCTTATATACAATGAGAAATACGAAGATGATTTAAAAGAATGGACAGTAGCAAGCAAAAACGCAAACGGAAGAGAGAGAAACTGACGTGTTTAGTTTGTAATCGGTCGTTTGATGACGATTGGATGTGCTTTTTTGACATTTATACCAGGTATTTTAAGGAACTATTTCGCCTATTTAAAAAATAAATTATCTTACTACTCGGATTTCATCGTTATACATCACTTAAAACCCACGCCCTAACAACGTGCTAGCCACGCCCTTTTGTCGGCAAAAAAGTTATCTTGCACCCTCCGAAAAGGATAGTCTTCGCTCCGCCCCTGTTAATATCTAATCGTTCCAAACCTGTTAGATAGTCAACTTCCGGCATAATAATTGATATAGCTCTTTTCTCGAGACGCACTAACTCACGCTTCAGATATTGGGGGAGACAATGGTAAACGGCAGGAATCGCGTAATCCACAACTGACCTGACACACGACGTATAGAACAGCGCTAAATCTTGTGGTGGAACTCTCGCCCGTTTTAATTGCACTAAAAAGTACAATCTTTTATTCACTTTCTTTATAACCTCGTCCACATAAGAATTCCAAGTAAGGTTGTCCTTGACAGTGAGTCCTAGCAGCTTTACTGTTTTAACAACTTCCAATTCTTTCCCATTAATGGTTAATGGATCAAAGATTGCTGGTTGATTCGCGAACGATATTCTCAATTCCTTACACTTGTCTTGATTTAATTGTACTCTATTATTACTAGACCACGTAACCACGTGATCAACTATATTTTGGGCATCACTA